ATCTGAGTATTTTTTTTCGTTTTTTTAGTGTTTGTTTTTGTATTTTTTCTGTGAACTAACTAAAAACTTTGAGTAATGTCATAGATACAGTCACATAAGTACTCGAGCGCACACACACGCACACGCACACAAAACGCACAAACAAATATGCACAAACACAGGAAACACAATTCAACTCTTCAATATGAAGAAATAATAAATTACGAAATTCGATACATGCAACAATATTAATTCCAGTACTTTATACATAGAGATAATAGAACAAAGAAAATAGAACCGAACCGAACCGAACAGAACAGAATAGAACAAAACAGAACAGAACAGAGCAGAACAGAACAGTTAGAGACTAAATAAAAGTGTTTTATTGTATAACCTAAATTGGTTAGCTAAATCTCTTTGATGTTTGTTGTCGTTGTTGATGATGATGAATTTTGTTTTATTTATTTTTTTCTTAAATTAAAACATAAAAAAGAGACTGTCATCTAATAGAACTGAATTATGTTTGTCAATAAGCTATTTGATTAAGCAGTTATATAATTTCAATGATTGAGATCATGAGTCAGTGGAAGCTAGACCATTATGGAAAACCTGGAAGTACTGGAATGTCGTTTCGTCTTATTATGGGACTACTCAGTAATGCACATCCACGTTACCGCCCCCCCCGCGAGATTCGAACTCAGGGCCTGTCAGCCTCGCACGTGAGCGCATAATCTCTAGGCCACTGAGCTGGCCGACATCCAACGGTATTAATGTCTAACTTTAACTAATCCATGAAAGTGAGCAACATATCCATCAATGTCTTCAGTGAGTTACTATCTCACAACAGACCTGGTTGAACTGCACTGATCACTGTCTCCCACTGGAACTCAAAGGAATACCTCTTAAAACGGGTCACTAGTGATCATATTTTGTTATATAATTGTACTATAAATAGATAATAAGAAATTTTAAGCATTCTGTAATGATCATTTCCTTGATATTTCGTTATAAGGATGTAGACATATTAAGTATGTTATGTAATTCGGAATAGAAGTCGAATTGAGCAAAACATTAATAAGATAGAATGAGAAACATTTTATTAATGGTTATGTTCAAGTGTTCAAATTTAAATAAAAGAGTAGGTAAGTCTATTTTAGCTGGTGATTATGGTGTTGTATACTACTGATGTCGATAGATATAAGTAGTATGTATCATCAGTTGAAAGTGAAATGTCTAGAGGTAGAAGGTGATGAAATTCGAAGAAAAGACAACGATAGTAGAGAGTGATTGGTGTGGAAAAAAAGGAGCAGTCAAGTCTGAAACAATTGATTGATATTTTGCAAAATAAGTATTTACTGTAAGGTCCTTAAATTTTGCCAGGATATTCTATAATATTGTATTTAAATACATTCGATTATCCCCACTATCTCGTTATTGATATTCAGGACTGAATGATTATAAGTCGTTGTGATCATATATACATCTTTTGCAAATTGCTACAATATACTTATATTATCATGACTTATTTGCAATAAATGATTCGTGATTAACAATGGAATCTAAATTGAGCGTGTTAGTCAACTCGACTCAATTCGACCTACCTCCATCTCATTGTTGATTTTTATATTAGAACTAGAACCAAGTACCTTTGCTTTTAAACCCCTATGGAGTTATTCATAGAGCTACTGAGTTCAGCAGCACATTTACAACTGAAGAGCATCTGGAACTAAAAACAACTGTTTGTCAGCCAACACCAACGTCAGGATTTTCAATATAATTGTCAAGACATTTCTACTGTATGGAGTGGAGACCTGGAGAACTATGAAAGACATCATCCAGAACATACAAGTGTTTATCAACAACTGTCTACGCAAAATACTTCGGATCCGTTGGCCGGACACTATTAGCAACAACCAACTGTGGGAAAGAACTAACCAAATCCCAGCGGAGGAAGAAATCACGAAGAAGCGCTGGAAGTGGATAGGACACACATTGAAGAAAGCACCGAACTGCGTCAAAAGGCAAGCCCTCACATGGAATTCTGAAGGCCAAAGGAAAAGGGGAAGACCAAAGAAGTACACATTACGCCGAGAAATGGAGGCAGCCATGAGAAAAATGAACAAAAATTGGATAGAACTAGAAAGGAAGGCCCAATATAGAGTGGGTTGAATAATAGTGGTCGGCGGCCTATGCTCCATTGGGGGTGACAGGCGTGAGTAAGTAAGTACTGAGTTAAGATAATCATAAAATTCGGCTAACAAGTTGCAAATAGGACGAATCACATATCTTAGATGCTAATGATAGCCAATAGTCGTTTTACTCTATAAAGATTATTGTTTTAGATTGATCATATCACATACGTTTTACAGAATTAAGCTAATACACCGTGTTTTAATGCATCAATTTGATTATTAAAAAGTAAATATTACATTAAACTCTTCTATGGGCAATTCACATTGCCAATTTTGTTTTGTAAATCACGTTTAACTATTCATTTAACAATCTTTTGAAGGTCTAGGAGTTATAAGTTTATTTTCCTATGACGTTATAGTTTCATACTTTTACCGAAGAGTCCTAGACTAGAACGAAACAGATATTTTCTGTTTTTCAGTAGTTGTTCAGTTAAAGAAAACCAGAGATTTATAACTTCTAAATCATTTATAAACAGAGATGGATAGTAGCTGACAGGGGAATCGAGGACGCGCATTTCGTTTTATTTGGGACAACACCAAGTGAATTCTTAATCATTTATTTATTTGTTTATATACATAGACATTGGAACGGGGAGGCACCAAATAGATATGCACCACACAAATCACTCGATATGTATGAGGACTGAGATACCGCCTGAGTGACCAGACCGAAGATGGTGGTCTTCTTGGTGGGGTTACACTCGTAGCCTTTGACCTAAAAGTGTAATCTACAAGACAGTGAATTAACGTTAAAAAACGTAGTTCCATGGTAGCCGGTGACCAACAATAGGTTCATACTCCATTTGTTCTTTCAGGATTCAGGATCCTATGTACACCATTGGTTTGTAATCGGGATTTCCCATTCACCCCTAAGGTAGATCCATCATACTGACCTACTTCTAAATCATATTATTGTCATATATTAATTATTATTAATGATGAAATTACACGTTAATTGTTAGTCTAAAACTTGTTCACTGATAAGTCGTTTGTCATTTGGATATGTAATTAAGAAAACACACTGATATTTACTTAACATATACAAAATATTGTAATGAATTTCCCTTAATATACGTTTTAATTGTAATAAGTTAAGAGGAAACATGTAAGGATGTTTTGATTATTTGAAATATTAAACATTAGACTTGGACTGCAACCCTCATCCAATGCTGTCTGGTGAACGGCCTATACTCCATCACAATGAGGTAACAAGTGTAAGTAAGTAAGTAAGTTAGTAAGTAGTATGCCATGTTAAGTATTGTGAAACCTTTTGAATCAACTTCACATATATTGATTTTTGTTTTCTTGTGTCATCGTAAAGATTATGGGAAATATGTTACATCATTAATTTCAATGTTTCTTTTTAGATTTTATAGTATTTACAATATAACAGTTCCTTATGAAAGTGTTGTAATTGGAGGTTCTACTAAATGTGTTCAGTGTTTTTTCAACATGTGAATCAAGCAGACAGTTGTAGATAACTGAATCAATGAAATTGTTACGAATGAACTTAATCCAGGTTATAAATGAAACCAAACAAAACAGCGTAAGTAAATTATGCGCTTAGTAGACGATAATTGTTAGTTAAAACAAACAAAAAATGTAACATGATAACATGGAAATTTAACTGTTTTTTCAAGTTAGATACTTAAATATCTTTCAATTTATTGCACTAGAAGGAGTTTTGTGGAGGTTTTAATCAATTCATTAGTTGAATATATAAGTCAATTGAAACTAGACCATCATGAAAAACTTGGAAGCACTGAATGATTGTTCCGTCCTAGTATAGAACTCTTCAATAGTGTGCATTCATGATCCCGCTTCACAAATTTCGAACCCAGGATCAATCAGTCTCATATGCGAATACTTAACCTTTAAACCACTAAGCCAGTTGGTATCTAGCCAGAAGGAATCATAGATGCACACTACTGAGTAGTCCTATACCGAAACGAAACAACTGTCCAATACTTTCAGGTTTTCCAGTAGTAATCTAGCTTTAATTGAACCATAAATTCTTTTTAATGAATTAAATTGAATTTTTTTAAACAAAATAAAACTTAAACATTCAAGAGAAAGAATATATTTGTAAAATCTCAGTGTTCCTATGATCATAAGGAAAATTAATCACATATTTTCGGGATGGGATGAAGGTGGGCTATTGTGCGAGGAAACAATTAATGAGTGTATACCGTTTATTAAAAAATTCCAAGAACCCTTCGACAGTAAAGGAACTTAATGAGTTTTTACATTATTCTGTCAAACTTACAGAAGTGAATGTAAAGGTTACCTTTCTTAAAGATTGTGTTAAAATGCACAAATATCATACAGCTTTGAAAATGAATTCGACAAAAAGAGAACTCTTCACTGAACTAATCTTTTTTATTTATTATAAGCAAAGATGAATAGTGGCTAGCAGTGGAATCCAGGACGCGCGTTTCGTCCTGTTTGGGACTCGTCAGCTGGATGTACCTGCATCTCAGAGTTGATTTTCACTCTGGGACTCGAACTCAGTACCGTTCGCTTCAAACGCCGTCGCGTTATCCACTGAGCTACTGAGTCCTGATAGCCACTTGCTTGTGCAATGGGGTGAAGTTTAATTCACTTGATAATGTTTTTACTTAAATCTTCCCATTGATGTTTTAGGACTGAAATTGATCAATTTCAGTGGATTTTTTATTTATTTCCAAGACTTCACTTGACAATCTAGTTCAAGCTTAATTTTAAACGGATTCTTTATAATCAAAGATTATAACACATTGATTCGACATAGATCAATATAATCATAATCATCATTATAATAATAAGCTACATATAAATTAGCACACTTACCATAATTCACTTGGTAATTGACAATTTAAACTGATCTCTTCAAGTAATGGAAGCATACTTATTCATAAGCAATTGATCTATTTAATTATGTAATCAAGGATTACAATCAGTTTCAAATGGAAATAATATAGAAAAGAATAATAGATTATATTGTTATATACACATATATAGATATTCCAGTATGTCCGTATATTCGTCGTTGCATATGAATAATGAAATATATCACAATCAAACTATGTGTACAGCAACAATAACAATAACAAAACGACGTTGACTATTATTACCAATCACTGTGAATGCAAATTAGACTTATATAGCTATATATATATCTATCTATTGTATCTAACAGTAAAATTGATTTTCTGTGACCATTTTTTATACTTTGTGATTTTGGTTACCCGCTTATCACGTAATAGTAATAATAATAATAATAATAATAATAATCCATAATACAATCAGTTATATGTGGGTGCCTAAAGAGAGAGAACAAAAAATCACCTGATTTATTCACTAACTCATTCAAGGAGAGAAGGAGAGAGAGAGAGAGAGAAAGACACAACATAACAACAACAACAACACCACCAAAAATCACTTGTTTCTGGTTGCCAAGTCAATAATAGCACGATATTTTAAATGTTTTACTCCTTTCTTCTGTATACCAATATATAACTTGTATGATGAGAATAATCATATATAATTGGTTGAAATTTCTATAAACCAATCATTAATAAAGAAAAACTTTCTGAAAAAAAAAATATACAGGGACACTAAATGTCATAATCATTTGTAAATGTGTAAAATGAAGAATAAATAGGGCGTAGTCATGAGTCATAATGTATTCCATTGAGTAAATTATACATATCTGGTATATAATTTTACTTCAATACAATCAATCTATGAGTAATATAAATAAACAAAACAAAAAAAAAGGAACAAGTAGAATTGGGTTTTATTTTTTTTTTACTTTTAAATTTATTTATTATGAAGTGTTACTATGGTCATAAGGAAAGAAATTGATTTTTTGGGGTGAGGGTGGGAGGTGAAGTGGAATGGGGTGGGGTGGGGTGGGTTGGAGTTGGGGCTGGAGGAAACACTTCACATTTTATTAAATTGGTAAACACCCAGAACCTAGAAAAAGAATATATATGTATAGTTAGAATTGGATAAATGAAAATTGTATTTGGTAGTAAACATTTGGTAGGAGAAGGTTAAAAGAGAATAAAAGAAAATCAATAATTTCATAATGAGTAAATTTGTATTCATAAAAATTTCAATCAGACTATAAATTATGGAGGATCTTTGAGAGACGCTATGATGTGACCTTCAGAGTGTTCACCTAATAACTAGGACTAAATAAGGGTTATAAACCAGTGTGATAACTCGGTCGATAGGATTTGATCTATACTAAAAAGGATATAATATACATGATATTGATCACTGGGTGGTGATCAATGTCAAGTGTATCGACTACCTCCAACCACCAGTCATCTAGACTAGAGGCTACATTGCAACTTGATCAACAGCATTCGATCTGCACTAATAAGGACTTGACACACATGACATTGATCATCATCCAGGGATCAATCAATTGTGATTACATCTCAGTCTTAAAGGAAGTCATTCGTGAACCGGATAGCTCAGTGGTATCATCTCTAACTATGAAGGTGGTTGACATGGGATCGAATCCGTCAGGAAACATTAGTTCTCTCAAGATTACAGGTGCGACTTGCTGACGAGGGCCAAGTCACACGAAACCCTAGGTCTGGAGTTTCCCATCGACTGCCTCTAACGTTCATCTTATTTTTCCATTAGCGACTAGCTTAAAAATTAAAAAAAACAACATGTAACTGGAAGTTATATTGTAGAGTCTGTTTAAGGAGCCTATAAATTCAACAAATAACGAATTCTCCTACTAATTAAGTTTAATCCACTGAATTACTGAGTTCTGTTAGTCGTTTCACGACTATAATAAGCAACGATTTGATTAATCTCATTATTGATATTGAAGAGTAAAATTGTAATCAGTCTTGGTTGTTATGTATGATTTGACATGTATTATTTATCAATAAATGTCTTAATTTCTTTCCATAACCTTGTCGAACTGCTTATTCAACGAATTATTTAATAGTTGAATTCATAAGTCTAGTATAGGACTCCTAAACAGTGCTCATCCACGATCCTGTCTCGCGGGATTCGAACCCAAGACCTGTTATTCTTGCAAGTGAACGCTTAACCTCAAGACCACTGCACCGGCATTCAACCGTGTTAATGCCTATCTTTAATCAATTCACAAATCATTTGTTATACCGTAAAATAGAAGTTAATTCGTCTATGTGCATAGGTAACTGAAAACTTTAATAAATTAGCTTCGAATACATGATGGAATAAACTGACTAATAACTATTTAGTAAGTAATACCTGTAGATTTAATAATATCCAATAGTAAGGTTTAGAAAACATGGTTCATCTCATTGAAGGTTTACCAATTTTAAACGCTTTTGTCTACTTCAATTATTTTCCTGAGGCATTAACATCTTACCAGCCAGTATTGCATAATAATGTTGTGAATGGAAACTCAGGTGGGTGAAATTAATTTGCTTAGTGCAAAATTACAATTACAAAATTACTATACATTAAATACTTCATTTGTACACCTTTCATCAGTTGTCCTTTATATCCTTCATGATTCTTCCGAATCTGTTTTTAATCCAATAATATTCTGTTTTCTTCAGTTTAGTCTTCTTTTAATAAGCATCCCAGTCCTTATTGTTATTACATATTATTACATCTGCCAACATAAATAGCATACACACGGCTTGTGAGGTTGTTCTGTGCATTGTGCTACTTCCTCCTTTACCGCGGTCTGGGTCACTTTGATCGTCAAAGTATCGAGTTCACCGACGCACTGACCTGCTGGTCCATATAAATCCGATGTCTAACTAGCATCCAACGAACCACTGAATCATCTACATCTGACAACTAGTGGTATGTCCCACTGCTTCTCACCGTCGAAAGTAACTGCAGCAGGCAACAACCCCCAGCCAGAACACTCCACTCGATGTCACTTTCTTGCACTAGACCGCCCAAACTAGCACCCTTGAGTTGGCATCCAACAGTGTTAATGTATAACTTCAATCAATTCACAACACTGTGGGACCATCTTCTCTTGTTTTCGTTTGTTAACTGTCTCACATCCGACATGAATCAGTGCCTACAGCTTGTCACTAGAACTCTGAAAATCCCCTCAGTAAGGGGTTATGATTTAAGTTACATCATCAGCGAAAACCTGGAAACAGTCAACAGGCGTTTCTTCCTACTATGGATTTAATTCGTGATTTTAGTGGAGTTCAACAATCTCTACAACCTTTTTGTAAGCAATGATGGGTAGTGGATAGCAGTGGAATCCAGGACGCGCGTTTCGTCCTATTTGGGACTCGTCATATGCTTACAAAAAGCTTGTGAATTAAGGCAATATCGAGGCATACGCACCGTATGCACATATGCCAATAACAGACCGATCAATTGCGGTCTTAAACCTTAATGGGAAGATACAAGTCAAACAATAACAAGTGAATCTCTACAAACGTTTACTGACATTTAAAATAACAATCAAACGGTTAATTTTTACACATCTAGTGACTTACAATGTATATATGATCATAAAATGAATAGAATCTATGAAAATGATTTACAGAAGAGAAAAAAGAAAGTGAGTACTTCGCCTTGTTTTAAACTTTAAAGTGTAGACTATAAGTGACTCTATGTAATGACAGATGTTTTAGTCTAGTGAATTTCAATGAACCACCTGATTACTCTTAAGAATCAATGTTACTATTCATAATAATACTAATTTATGTTATAGATTGACCAAAAATTTAGTAATTTACTGGATTATTTGAACAGAAGTGTAGTCAAATCGTTTCGTGACTACTTAACCAATATATATATATGCAGATGTAAAGGTGAGGATTAGCGAAGAAAGTGCTGCAACCCTGGAATTAAAGAACATATGGAACTCAAAACAACTGTCAATCAATACCAAAGTGAAATTCTTCAACATGAATGACAAGACACCTCTACTGTGCGGAGCTAAAACTTCAAGAACTACCACAACCATCATCAAAAACATACAATTATTTATAAACATTTGTCTACATAAGATTCTGAATGTCTGTTGTTCGGATACCAACAACTTACTATGGGAGAGAAAAAACTATCTGCCAACTGAAGTGAAGATTAGGAAAAGACGCCAAAGGTGGATAAGAACCACATTATGGAAATCACTAAACTGCATCACGAGGTCAGCGCTAACTTGGAATCCTTATGGTAAACGGATAAGAGGAAGACCAACGAACACACTGAGTCGAGAATTGGAAGCAGACATAAGAATGATGATTAGCAACTTGAAACAACTGAAAAGGATTATCCGGTACAGAGTTGGATGGAGAATGCTGACGAGTGGCTTATATATATATATATTGAATTTCGAGGAGATAAACTTCTTACTTCCCTACATTGTTAGAATAAATAAATGGAAATAAATTAAGCCGGGTCTGAAAATAATTACTGTGTATAGTAACAAATAAATTAATTAATATCAGAAGGGGTTTTGTGGATAATATAGTAATTTTTAATAGTTGAGATCATAAGTCAATTAAAGCTAGACCACCATGGAATACCTGGAAGTACAGAACGGCTACTTCGTCCCGTTGTGGGACTCCTCAGTAGTACGCATCCACGATCCCCCTCGACAGATTTGAACTCAGAACCTAACGATCTCGCACGCGAACATTTTACCTCTAGACCACTGAGGTGATCAGCATCTGACGGTGTTAATGTCTAACTTCAACTCATCTTACTATGAGTTCATCATGACTAACACAATTACCTAAGAGATAGAAAAAGTATTGAAACATAATGTAATGTAGTACGTAAAAATCTGAATTAATGATTTGAATAGTGTATTCCATTACCCTTTCGTTTTTCATATTTATTTATTATGTTTATTAAATTTAATGACCTGACAAGGTGAATAAGTTACATTTTATTTCTATGAATATAAAACAAATGTAGAACATACATTATTGAATTTGTCAATCTCTTATGTTGCCATAAATGATCACTAACGAAGCAATAGTTTAATAGCTTAAACAAAATAGCTTTTAATTATTAGATCAAAGATTTCAACTTTAATTGTTTAGCTTTGATCTAAGTAACAAGAATAGTATAGTGGTGTGTGCTACTGATGTCAACAGATATAAGTAGTATGTATCATCATCAATGGAAAATGAAATGTCTGGAGGCAGAAGATTAAGAAGACCAAACAAAATAGAACGAGAACAGAGAATATTTGGTGGGGAAACGAAAGAACAATAATAATGAAACTGATTATTGTACAAATGTGATGTATGCTACTGATGTCGATAGATATAAGTAGTATGTATCATCACCAATCAAAAGTGAAATGCGTGGTGA